CGAAGCTGCCGAAGCAACCCCGTTGGTTCAGTTTGTCAGCACGGTTGGGTGCCCACGGGCCCTCCCGTAAAGGAGAGAAACGGGGACACATGCCCTTGCGAACACGCGCCACCTCCCGTGGAGACGGGGTTGCCGCCATAAAATCCCAAACCTAGACGGTGCATAGCCCACAGACTACGCGAAACCCATTGGCCTCTTCATTCGATAAGTGAAGCAACGTTCCGAGTGGTGGTATTTCATTTGTGCTTGCGCTTCCACCTATACTACACCTCAGATGTCGCCGCACAGAGCCAGACCGGAGTCAAACTCAACAGGGTCTTCCCTTTCCCCGCTTAGCCCTTCAAGTCCGTTCCCTTGACTGTCGTTTCGCTAGATAGTAACTCGGGACAGAGGGAATCTCATTACTCCATTCATGTGCGAACCCAATCACACCCCAGGGCAATGGACCAGCGTAAAGGAGCCACACACCTCCACTCCAGTCACTCACAAACATGTCGATGGATACCACCACGCCGCCATTCAGAGCACCCCACAGAGGCCGCAGTGGAGTGATCCAGCAACACAACAGTGTCCTTCCCACTCACAGTGCACACACACACACAATGACAGTCCCACATGCTCATATCAGAGAGGCACCGCGGCATTCCCTAAAATGTACACCAAGTCACACACCTACAGAGAGGAAAAGAAAAGCACAAGAAAAGAAAAACAACAGGGTACCAACAGTACACAAAGCACCCACAATACACAATAATCACAGCTGACACTCCCATCAGAGAAACACATTCACCCACACCAGCACATCAACTCAACCCCAAAAAAGAAAAAAACAAAAAAAAAAACAGACCCATTACGTGGAGCCGAAGCGGAACAGTCTCAGTCCATCTTCCCCGCAGGATGCAGTCACTCAAGCAAGCCGCACAACAAACAACACACACCACAAGAGCAGAATTATGTTCGTGGCAATGCCGTGAGTGACAACACCGAGAGAGAAGGTGAGAACAAAGAAATGTGTTTTCATTACGTGGGCGGTGTGAGTAGCAACCCAAACACACAAAGGAATACACAACAGAGGGGCACACTCAAACACCTACAACCCACCAATCCTTATACCAAAATAAAAATGTAAAAAAAAGAGTGACTGCATGAAGCAGACACAATAATAGAGCAAAGATGTAAAAGGAAAAAAGGAAATTCATTACTTACTGTGGCTGCGATGCCTGGACACAGTTCAATCCACACCAAGGTTAACAACGGAAAACCATTGTGTACTGAACATGCTGTGCCCATTTCTTTATTCTTGATGTCCCTGCAACAGTTTGTATATAATGAAAAAAAGAATCATTCCATAAAAATGAACACACAAGATACACAAGGTGTATTGGAATCGCAAAAGAGAAACACACAGCTGCACATAATGTGCAATGGAATTATAATGAAACACACACAAAGGATAAAACAATAAAATGAAAACAAAACAAAAAGAAAGCCATGATCACCATGTGAATATCTTCAGGAGGCAAGAACACAATTCCCTGCAGTAGGTGTGTGTGTCTTTCGTACAGGGCGAGCAGTGGGAATGATGAACACATGATGACAGTCCACACACACAAAGAGAAGGAAGGTTGGTAGTGTGCGTGTTTGTGTGTCTTGAGCCTCCTGCCATTCTTCACATTTCAGTCACAGCAATTACAACACATTGGGATTGTATACCATTCCCATGGGTAAAAGCAATAGAGTCATTAATATCACGGAACACACACACACTTCACTAGGCGAGCACAGTCAATGGCGGCAAAGCAGAGCCCAGATAATAATGCGAACAAACAAAGAGGACACTCCCCTCACAAAATGATGGTTTGTCATGTGTTGAGTGCCATAGGGAGTCCAATAGATCTGTTCAGTAAAAAATGCAAACAAGAGATTTATCTTGCTGGAAGAGTATAAAGAAGGTCTGATATCCAACCGAAAAGAACAGTCTCCCTTACAATGCATTCATATCCACTAAAACAAAGGTTAACTGTGCAACTGTATCATGGCAACACCGTCTAGCAAACAAGAGTGCAGCCCATCACACATAACAGAAGCAACAATAAGGACCCGTGTAGCATTGCAGGACTGCTGCTGTCATCTTTCTTCTTCTTGGCCTTCTCCGCCGCACGTTTCGCCTCTTCCTCCCTAGCTTTCTCTGCTGCCTGTTTCGCCTTTTCTGCCGAAACGCGTTTCGCCTCCTCTTCCTTGGCCTTTTGTGCCATAGCCTGTTTCGCCTTCTCCTCTTCGTCCCTTTTCCTCCTCGTGTCCTCCTCTTCCCTGGCCCTTCTCGTATTCTCTTCTTCAATCCTTCTCCTCTCCTCCTCGGCTCTCCTTGCCGCTTCAGCCCTTTCCACTGCCTCCTTCTTGGCTTTCTCTTCCGCCGCAATCCGTATCGGTCTCTCCGCTTTCATCTTACCCTTAAATTCCTCGAGCACAGATGGTTTTACACGTTTCCTATCGCCGACCGTCGCATTCCTTTTGCTTTCATTTACTACAATCCTACTGGCATCGACGTATTCCGTTGCGTTTATTTCGGGGGGCTTAGTCTCCGCATCCGCCTTCTTCACAGCGACATCTGGGCAAATCCCTTTTATACCTTCTAACATTTCGCCTATTTTTTCGCCTGGAAACACCGTGGTGTTTATTTCGCAGGCCTTGGACTTACCAGTTAAATTTAAGAGACCCAACCTTACGGTTTCAAATTTATTGTATTGTGCACTGATCTCATCAAATTCCTTTTTCCTCTCCTTGTCCGTCAAACAACCCCTGTTTTTCTCATGTTGGATTGTGTCGTTATACCAGTCGAAACCTTGTTTATACCGTCCATGCACGTTAAGGAGGTTCTCGTAATACGTCTTACTTAAGTGTCGCGTTGCCTCCACTCTAGCCGTCAGATTTCGCGAAATCGATATTGCATCATTGTACTCCTTCATCATCTGAGCGTAACCCTTCATGAACCCCTGCACCTCAGCGCCATTGCATTCCAACTTTTTAACTCCAGGTACACTCCCTTCCGTTACATCTCCCCTCAAACCCTTCAGGATGGCTTCGGTTTTTTCCAGTGCGTTTCTGGTGACGATGCTACCCTTCTCACACGCCTCCGCTTCCCTCTTCCATAAACTCAACAGATCCTTGCCTTCCTCCAACACAGTCTCCGGCGACTTAAAACCTTCAACCTTTGGTCCCTTCAACACCTTATCTATATCCTGTTTGGCCTCGGTGAGACTTTCCTTGATTTTTTCAGGACAACCAGCGCTCGGCTGGGCGCCTTCCGCTCGGGCCACACACGCACAACACTGAAGAAGTACCAACAGGTACACCACACGGCGCAGTTGGACGAACATCGTTGTCATGATTATCCCTGTGAGTTGCTTGGATCTATGGTAACAAGGAAGAAGAAGAGGGAAAGGAGAAAAGAAGGAGAAAAGTAGACGCACATATAACACATAAGGCAGACAGTACACAGCAACAACGAGAGAAAGAGAGAGAGAGAGAGAGAATACACATCACAACAGCAATCAAACACATCCCCCAACGAGGGAACACAGTAAACCACTCACACAATAAAACACACCCAGAGTTACACAGATATTGAAACAACACCTTGAACCTAGAAGAAGTGGAAAACAAATCGTATCAAAACAATATTAAATAAACGTCTCTACAACACACTCCAATATCCCACCCGGTATTCATACACACAAAGTGTGTCTGTATTCTCACTATAATAAAACCATTACCAGGCAGTCCGAACACCAAAAACACAGTGTACACCTGGCAACATACAACAACAATACCACAAATCATCAGCAAAACAAAGAGACTGTACAATAATCAACACACCTCCAAACAGAAAAGAAAAGAAACCAATGCATCACCATAATATTTATACCAACACCACAATTGGAATCTAAAACCCACTCACCCACAACCATAACAAAAATGACTGCATACATCATTGGAACACCATGCCACTCTTTACAAACAGAGGCAACACACAATTACTCTCACACACACATATTGCCTCTTTATTTATCCCTATTACTATTATTATTTTATTTTTTCCTCAGAATGCCAATTCGCCCCCTCTTCTCCCACAGCATCATCAGCAAAAAAAACACCCACCCAAACACACACATACTTCACTCCATGATGTGAATTAGGAGGGTACGATCAAACATATCCCTTTCCATCGTAACCCAAAAATGAAACCACACACCACACCACCACGGTTTTTCTTTTTGTTCTTCGTGGCTTTATGGATATTACTCCAATGGTACGGCTATCAACCGTACACCGTAGAGCACCTAATTACCGACTTTCGAGTGGCTCTGAAGAAGAAGATCCCTTCATTTTATAGGATCCTCAAGCTCTTGTAATATGATTTTTGTTGTAGCCCGTTCCCATACGAGAGAACCAGTCTGCGAGAAATCCGATCGAGTAAACCCCACCAGATCTCTCTACTCTCACTTTTCTTACCCAGAACCCGTCCTCCAGTCTCCTTTTGTTATTTTTGGGGTTTTTGTTATATATTGCCTCAATGAACTCCTATTTATTTCGTTGCTTCTTTTTGGTCGGTGACATACACCTTGAGCTTACTCTTCTATCAAGGTTTCCATATTCGAGCTCGTCGCTGATTTTATAGAGGTGGGGAGGTAGGCTGCGTGGGGTTTCTTGGTTGTGAAGACTGTGGCATGGCGTAGTTCCGCTCCACCGAAATAAAGAATTTTGCCAACCGCTTAGAAAAACATAGTTTCTTCAGGGGTACATCAACTATCGTAAATTGAACTCGCAGTGGATGAAGAGCGGGGCAACTCAAGAGATGAAGAGCTGTTTCTTCGCATTCGTCACGTTGGCTGGTGTGCGCGCGAGTAGGTTGATACCCGTGACGTGACACTCGGTGTAGAGTTATGCCTGACTTACTCATACACATTGACGACCACATGAGGGACAGAGTAATGCCGGAAGGTCTCTTGTTTTCGTTGTCTTGTATCGTGCAGTGGTGGAATTTGTTTTTTGTTGGCATACCCTCTCTATAATGGAATTATCTACAGTGGAAGAAGAGGGAGGCTGGGTGGGCGTAGAACTTCTGGCATACTCCGCATTGGACTTTTTCTCTGTCCTCACACTCCGGTGTCGACGTATCTCGCTGGCGTTTCTTATTGCGCGGAAACGTTACTTGTATTGTTGCTGGCAGAATTGGAGTTCCAGGTGGGTATTTAAACTCTTTGTGGCATGCGAGACCACCAATGTTGGCGAAGTCACGTAGACAAAATTCACAGCGTAGCGGAGCAGGTTGCGGGATGAGTTGAACTTTGGGTGCATCCTTTTTGTGGGGTTCTCAGGATGTTTTGCTCTAATATGGGATTTAAGGCCCGTTTTAGAGCGCGCTACCATATAACATTTCTCACAGGGAAATGCTGATTCCTCTGGAATCGGTTCGTTGGCTCGCGGGCGTTTTTTCTCTGGGACAGGGCATGTGACATTGCGCATGTATCTGAGGTGGCGTGTTAATCCATTTTGGAGCGGAAATGTTCGTTTACACATACCGTGGGCAAACGGATGGAGTTTTGCTTTGGGTAAAGTGGAACGGGGTAGCGTTGTTTCCTGAGGTGGGGGTTGTGAAGGTGGCGGAGGTTCTGGCGGGATGTCCGGCGGAGGTGGCTCATGGGGGAATTTAATCTTCCAGAGCGCGCCGGCTCTCTTGAACCCATGTTTGTTGATCATATGTACTACTGCGCCGTTCCTGCATGAGTATTGTGCCCCACATTCAGTGCAGGTGGAAGGTTCTGTCGCTTTGTTCAGGGCATAGAGCGGTCTTTTCTGGCTAGGTGGAATAACGGGTGCTGGCATATTGATTTGTTGGGATTACACCATCGACAACCAGAGGGAATATGGGTTTTTATCTTTCGCAGCAACCAGCCATAGCGATGCGAAGCACCTGTGTGAAAACGTGCTAAGGCTGTTTCTTCTTCTCTAGTGAGTTCCGGATTATCTTTGGTGGGGTCCCAGGATCCAGTGATTTTTGATCTATGGGAGGGAGGGGGTGTATCCTCTCCCTTAAGGATTCGTTTAGCGTAGGCTATTATATCTGTGATCCAAGTATCTGTTCTTTGTGGTAGTTCTGCAGCTTTTTTAGCTTCTGTGTCGCTTTTTTCATTTTTTACTACACCGCAGTGGCCAAAGATAAATTGTAGTCGTATGCGGGCTTTGCGACGTTGCACTTGAAGTATGAGGTTCCACAGGAGCCGTAGTATTGGGTCTTTTACGGTCAGTGGACCTGTTTCTAGCGCCGTGAGAAGAGACAGTGAATCCGTGAAAATGAAGACCCTGCAGGGCGTTGGGTTATTTGCGGGGATTATTTTAAGTAGTCTCCGTAAACCTTCGTATAGCGCTACGGATTCAGCTGTGTAGCTGCAGGCTAGGGGGCCAGCGCCTCTATGTGTGGTGCATAGCAGTTCACCATCTTTGTATACCATTGCTGCTGCTCAAGATTTTACTCCGAGAAATACGGAGCCATCAGTCCAGATTTCATAATGGGTACGCGGCGGCAGATCTGTGCCTTTACGGCGGAAGTGACGGGCTATCCAACGCTCGGATGCTTCTCTTTTCTGTTCTTCAGGGTCATCAGCTGATACATTTTCCAGCGATGTGAAGAAGCGAGCGCGTTTACCAAACCGTAGAGTTGGTGTCAGTAAAGGGGGCTCGCGTGGCTCTATAACAAGTGTTGGATAGATTTTCATGATGCGTTCATAGAATTCTCGTACTGGATGGGTTTCGTGATAGACTTGTTCTGCGCTTTCTTTGAGGGATCCACCTCGTGTTTGGCATCGCATTAAATATTTGAGGCTCCGAATCATGGCCGTCATCTCTAATGGGAGAAGACGGGCTTCACGTAATGCGTCTGCGGAGCGACACCCATATGGGATACCTGCTATGGTTCGGCAAGCTTTATTTTGACCTGCATCAAGGACTTTGCGTGAAGTGGGAGCCGCATCCCAATACCAGATCTCAAAGCCGTAGAGCGTCTGGGCTTGAACTAGTGTCCGGTAGAAGGCTCGGAGGACGTCACGCTTCGGTCCCCATGTGGTGGAGGATATTGCTGCAAGTTGTAGTAACCTAAAATTCATGCGATTGCCTTGTTTGAACCATATGGGTAGACATGCCTCGGTGGTTTTGGAAGGTGATGCCTAAGAGTTTAGGTGCCTTCTTCGTACCTACGGTGATACCGCGTAGTTCGAAGAAAGGGGATTCGGGTCTGATTATCCAAAAGGGTGTATTTTGTCTTGTCCACATTAATGTCCATAAAATATTTTCTGGACCATTCATCCACTACGTTTAGTCCTTGTTGCAGTGTACTGTTGATGATGTCTCTGCTGATGTGTCGTACTGCTAGCGTGAGATCATCGGCGAAAAAACCATGAAATAATAAGGGAACTTGGAATAATCGTTTGCTTAGTGTGTTCATTACTATAATGAACGCAGGTGGTCCGAGGACTGTTCCTTGTGGCACGCCGCGGTGGAAAAGCATTAAAGGAGAGGATTTACTGTTTACTCGTACTTAGGCTTGACGTCCTTTCAGGAAAGATGCTGGCCATCGAATGATGTGCGGTGGGATATCCATCTCTCGCATCGCACTAACTATCCGATCATGGTCTACAGTATCGAAAGCGTTGGCGTAGTCGACGAATACTGCTCCTGTACGCGAATCAAGGGTGGGTCTTGTGAGGGCTGCGCGTAGGTGTAATAGTTGATCCAATGTAGAGTGACCAGATCTAAATCCAGATTGTTGTGGGGTTAGTTTGGTTTCAATGACATCTTGAATTCGGGCCGCAATGATCCGCTCCATTAATTTGGACAGACAACTAGTGAGTGTAACTGGTCTGAACGAATCTAGATCTGCGGCTTTCTTTCTGGGCTTAAGGAGTGGTACAATGATGCCTACTTTCCAAGAGAGTGCAACTATACCAGTTCGGAGGCTCTCGTTGAAGAGAGGGCAAGAGTCTCTGCTTTGGCACGAGGTCCAAAGTGTTGGAGTGCCTCGCCGTAGACACCATCTGGTCCTACGGCCGTTCCTTTAGGAAGGAGACGCTCTGCCCTTTCCAGTTCTGCTGTTGTAATGGGGATGAAGTCTGTATCGGTAACTGGAATGGGCGGTGGAGGGTAGGAATGTGGGTGACGTTTAGCTCGTCGTGAACATAAAGGGATAAAGTGCTTGGCTTTCTGATTTTATGTGAGTGCCGTGTTGTTAATCTTTATCGCCGGGGTGCTGAGGGGGCATGGGGCGTAGATCCTCTTCAAAATGTTCCCACAGCAGCCGTCTGCCACGGCCATGTTATTACAGAGGGTTTTCCATCTCTTATGGGATGTTTGTTTTAGCATTTCTCTTCTACGAGCTACTAGTCTGTCTCGAGAGACAGAGAGTTTGCAGCTGTAAATCTTCTCTTCGATTTCCTCTAATTCTGGAGCCCAAAAAGGGGCAGTATCTCGACCCCCGCTTGGAACACCCGCAGCTGTTGCGATACGGATGGTGGAGGTCAGCAGTCGTTCTCTCTTGTGAACGCTCATTTTCTCTTTAATGCGTTTGTTGCACTGTGCGTTTGACATTTGTCTAATGCGAGACCATTTCGCTTTCTTCCATGCATAAATGGATTGGGGCGCGAGGGCGAGGGAACCGCAGTGGTTCGTCATCACCATCTCCTACTGCTACGTCGAAGAGGATGATGTAATGGTCGCTGTCCGGGGAGAAGGATGCCGTCCATGACTCTAGACGGCATTCTCGGGATATTGTCACATCTGGCGCGGACGGGCCATGGCGTGTGGTGTGGCGAGTGCATTCTCTAGCGTTGTGAATATAACGTAATCATTATCTAAGCACCATTGTACTAGCACATCGCCAAGGGTATCAGGGGGGATCGCGCAATCCCATGCCATTGCATGCGCATTAGCATCTGCACCAATGAGGTGAGGTCCGCTTGTCGTCAAAAGCGTGTCAAGTTGCGAAGTTGTGTATGATCTCTCCCCAGATGGAAGAATATAATGACGTCACTGTTAGCGCCAGACCTTCTGACATGTGGATCGTTGCATGAGCATGCTCAATGCTTGCAACTACGGTGAGTCCTACTTCTACTGGCAGATCTTCACGCACAAGAATCGAAACGCCGCCTCCTTTAGAGGGGTGGGACACTTCCCCATGATGTTGGTAACCAGCGATTGTGAAACTCGACACTTCCGCACAAGATAGTTTCCTCTCGCTTAGAAGGCAGAATGTCACATTCTCCTCAAAAAGGGTTTTTGTGGAGAGCAAGCCTCTAGGCCTGGATAAGCCCAGCTGAGTTCCACTGCATTCTTCGCAGTGAAGGGCCGGGATTTTCCTCTACATCACCACCACTGAGCAGCAACCTGGTGCGGGTGATACTGCTGATAGCACGTTGAAACGTGCCCCAGGACCTTCTTGGATATATTTTTGCCCCAGCACGACGCGGCTGGTCCCGGTGCTGTATAACGCCGTAGTCTAAGGGCCAACGGGTCTTCCAGAAGAAAAACGTCGCTGGTTCTTAGATTCCCCCGAGAATACGAAGTAATGGACCTTGGCACCAAGTTGAGGTGGCCGGCATTGCCAAGGACGTTTTGTTGTAAAAGATGAAATGATGAAACTCAGAAATGATCATCATACTATACGGAGTGAAATAAATGAACTATTTCGTATGTTACAAGAAGGTTTTAATGTTTTGCATGAGCAAAGTGATAA